CTGAAAAAACGGCCAAAACCGCAAAAAAATCGAGAAAAGTCTATAAAAAGGAAAAAAGTAAGACAAAAATTTTGCGAAAATATTTATTGTTGGGTTACGGTAGCACTCGTTTGCCGGCTGTGTTTTCGAAAATTCTCCTTGAAATACGGTGGCCTAACTTGTGTGAAAATTCGGCCACAACTCCAATTTTTTTGCACAAGAATAATACATTAGTTTTTTTTTAAATTTTGTGTACAAGTAGCTGAATATTTGTGGATAATGCCACTTTTTTCGAAATCCAAAAATATTGAGTTTGAAGCGACTTAGAACTCTTTTTCTGAACAAGTTTTGGTTAAGTGCGCAAAGCCGCGAGATGTCGGTCGCTTAATTTCACAGAAATAAGAGGGCAAGCGTCCGATCTGGCAAGTTAAGCAACGTTGACTACAGATAGTGGTCAATTGAATCCTAAAATTTTTTTGCTTTTTCAAGCACATTTGAAGCGAACAGAAATTTTAGTGGAGCTAGTTTATGTAGAAATCATTATGGGAAACTTCTATCATACAATTGTAACAGAAAATGTGTTTTCCAGCTCGCCGTTGACGAAAACGGGAAATTCATTGACTTGGACTACACCGCTCTCTCCAATAGTGGTCACACAATTGACTTGTCAATGGGTGTCATGCGTGAGTTCAATTTTTGCACTGCTTCAGCAATGACGTATTTGCAATGTTATCTGGACTATTCAATGGGGATTTCCTAGATTCCACTTTAAAATGCTATGCTTCAACTTCCCAAACTTATTCCAGAACGCGCCATGGTCCATGCAGACAACGTTTACAAATTCGCCAACGCTGACATAACTGGAAAAATGTGCAAAACGAATCTGGCCTCAAACACTGCGTTCCGTGGATTCGGAGGACCCCAAGGCATGTTTGGAACCGAGATCATGGTAAAACACGTGGCAGAGCAATTCGGATTGGATCATGATGAGATTCGTGTGAAGAACTTCTATCAGGAAGGGGACTGTACTCCATTCGGAATGCATTTGAATCAGTGTAATGTGGCTCGGACATGGGAGGAGTGTAGAGCGAATTCGGATTATGATAAGAGATTGGAGCAAATCAGAAAGTTTAATGAGTGAGTTTTTGAGATATTTTAACATCTCAAAAAAGGATAGCTCGAAAATTGGGAAAACTTCAGAAACAACAAATTCCGAAAGCGTGGAATCTACTTGACCCCAACTAGATTCGGAATCGGTTTTGGGCTGAAGCAACTCAACCAGGCTGGAGCTCTGGTGTTGGTTTATACCGATGGAAGTGTTCTCGTTTCTCATGGAGGCATGGAAATGGGACAAGGATTGCATACCAAGATTTTGCAGGTTAGTCACAGAAGATGGTAGTAGAACCGGAATAAGATGGAACGTACAAGCAAGTGGAAAAGAAGATGATGAAACGGCAAAAAGTTTCAGTACAACAGTTTTTATAGTCAATTTCATACTACAGACTGACTAGTTGCTGAGCAACGCAGTACAATCAGAACTACACGCTACAAGCTCAGCAACGCGCTACAGGTTGATCTACGTGCTACTGGTTGTGCTATGCGGTACAAGCAGAGCTAGGTGCTATAAGCTGTGCTACGCGCTACTGGATTACCTGGTCGCAATGACGTCCCATCGACTAAAAACTATCATGACTATCTTGAGAATTTGAAAAAGCAAACATTTTCCTTGGGAAATGATTTTTGGTTTTGTTGAATCAATAAATCATTGGAACAACTGAACAACTCTTCTTCTATCAAAATCTGAACTTTTAGAAACAGCAAAAAACTATATATGCATAATTTCCATTTTCAGATCGCCGCTCGCTGTCTTGAGATCCCAATCGAGCGAGTCCACATCCATGACACCTCAACCGACAAAGTTCCCAATGCATCAGCGACCGCTGCTTCAGTTGGAAGTGATATGAATGGATTGGCAGTTCAAGACGCGTGTAGACAGATTATGGAACGATTGGCACCATTCAAAAAGTTGAATCCCGATGGAAAATGGGATGATTGGGTGAAGGCGGCGTATGTGGAAAGGGTGTCGTTGTCCGCTTCAGGATTTGGAATGTGAGTTTTTTACTGTTTCAAAAAATGTATATTTTCAATAGAGTGTTCATTTTTCAATCAATCTTTTAGAATCCACCACGAACCAGTCGACTTCTTCAATGGAAAAGGAGCAGAACTCTTCGGTTACTCAGTCTATGGAACTGCTTGCTGTGAAGTCGAAGTGGACTGTCTTACCGGAGACCATCATCTTCTCAGAACCGACATTGTTATGGATGTCGGAGAGTCTCTAAACCCAGCTATTGACATAGGACAAATCGAAGGAGCATTCATCCAAGGCTACGGACTATTTACAATGGAAGAGATCAAAATCCGACCGGATGGAATTCGACTAACTCGTGGACCCGGCAACTACAAGATCCCATCTGCAGATGATGCTCCAAGACATTTCAATGTGTCTCTACTTGGAAATAGTAGCAATAAGATGGGAATATTCTCTTCGAAGGCTATTGGAGAACCTCCATTGTTCCTTGGAAGCTGTGCGTTCTTTGCGATTCGAGAAGCAGTGAGAGCTTATAGGATTCAAAATGGCAATTCGGTAAGTCCCGTAAAAACTGGAATATAGCACCACTTGTAATAGAAGATTTCCTCTAATATAACGCCACCTCACGAGGTGATTGGAGGTAGCAGAACAAAGTTTTAATGTTTGATTAACAAAGTAGCAGTGGAATCTAGAAATTTCTCACAATTTCTTTCATTTAGTACATTGTTAATCAATTAAAAAACTAACTTTTGTCACCTCGCATCATCCAAAAACACCCCTCCAAAAAATAGAACGCCATGGCGCTATATTACAGGTTTTACGGTATTTCACAACGGAGGTTTAATAATTGCTCGTTTTACTAAATGTTGTTTGTGACATAGGGGACTTATTAACTGGAAGACCCTTCACTATCATTGATGCTATCTTCGAAACAGACATTTGATTTCTACAGTAATCCTTTTCAGGACTACTTCGCCTTCCACTCCCCATCAACTCCCGAACGAATTCGAATGGCTTGCGAAGACTTTGTGACCTCCCACGTCCCACCACTTCCTGAAGAAGGATCATACACCCCATGGACCACTTCTGTCTGAATTCTTTAGTGTTCTAACTATTTTATAATAAAAGCTATTTGAAATAAAGATTCATAAATATCCTGGCAAATAAAAAAATGTCAAAAAATGAGATCATATCATTTTGAGGCTGTGTGGAATGATTAATCAAAAAGAGATATTATTAGGAACCGGAGGCGGGACAGCTACACAGTAGTTTCATCCTGATTATTCTTGTCTTTCATGAACAAGTTCAGCCTGACTTCTGCATCCTGAACATATGAAGCTGGGGAGTCTTGAACGTCGTTCTCCAGGATTGTAGAGGATCCAACAGAGCGGTCCACCTGAAAAAAAGATTTTTATAGGGATAGGAGGGCTATGTATGTAAGAGTGAAGACATTTAAGGACCCAAAATGTACAAACTGAAGGAAAATCAACTATTGTACATAGCGTCAATATAATTTTTCAAAATTTCAAATAAAAAAAAATCGATAATTTTTTTAAATTTTTAGAATTCAAAAATTCTCCTAAAAATTGAATTTCAAGTTTAATCACGTTTTGAGATATTTGAAGTTCAACAGTGGTATAAAAATACTTGATATTATAGTTAGTAAACTGACACTGAGAATGAATAATTTTGGTTGGTTTGAAAATATGAACCTCATGAAACCAAATTTTTTTAAACTGATTCAAGTTCTCCTTGTAGGTTTTGTATTTTCAAATTTTGTGATACCTTGAAACTGCTCTTTTGGTCCACACCCAGAAGCCTAGACCCCCAATTTCAAACTTCCTGCTCTCTTACCTCATCCGGCATCACATTCAACAATCTCCTATTCACTAGTGAATGCTGTGAAATGCTCGTCAACGGATTCCTTCGATTTACTTCATTATTTTTCTGATTACTAGCACTGGAAGATACGGAAACTAGACTTTCTGATCTGTCAAAGATATGTTGGGCCGCTGAGATTCCACGGAACGAGAGGTTGGTTATTGACTTTTGTTTGGTGGCAAATGTGTTGAGTCCAATTTCGGATGGTGGTGGTGGGAAGTCGTCGGAGCTTAAAAACAATTTGTTATATAAAGAATCACTGGTTAATACTTCATTGAATAAAATAAAATAACTGAAACATAAAATATTTGCTGTTACAACTACCAAGTGAATGATAGTTCCGCTTCTAATATCAATAGCAAAGGTACTTACTCATCGTATCCTGGATTATGAACCGCGTAGCTCCCTCTATCGTCCAGATTTGGTGGAATCATTGCTCCTATCCTTGGCTCTTCCACTTTACAAGAGCCCATACTCTCCTTCGACAGGTCTATTCCAATATCCCTAATACTTTTCGCAGGCTTCACTGGCAATATCGGTGGCGGCGGGAGCATCGCAGTTTTTATAAACTTCTCCCTCTCCTCTTTCTCAATTCTAGTGCGTTCTCGAATCCGGAACAAATTGATGTCTCGATCCCTTGGATCCTCATTAAACGATACTGGTCGTGGTGGCGCCACGTCATCGATTACTGTAGACTTTGGAGGTAGTTTTTGTGGAAGAGGAATGGATTGAGAGGATCCGTGGACTGGTGGAAGGGTTTTTTGGAGCATTTTTTGGGTGTGCTCCATGTCGGTCGTGCTTAGAGTGGAATTGGATAGACGGTTGTTTCTGGCACTCTTAGGTTCCAGGTAGTCCTCTCCGGGTATCGTTTCGTATACCTCGTCGTAAGGGTGGTTGGGGCGAGTTGGAGTTCTAAAAATTGTTTTGTACAGAATTCAAAAAACGGTTTTGACCGTGTAGCTTAACCCCCATCGTAAGTTCTGTTATTCTAAAATTGCCCCCCATTTTTGCCAAAACATCAAGATAGAGGAACCGAGATAAATTGGCTCAAAGTTGATGGTAGGAGGTTTAGAAAAGATCGGTTTCAGTGACACATTGAGACTTAATATCTCACTCCAACTTTCAATGATTTCATGACAATCACCTCAAATTTTGCATTAATTCACTCACCTCGATCCCAAGAAACTCGACACACCAATCGTTGAATCACAATACTCATAGGTATTCACCGCTGGTTCCGGTGGCGCTATAATCAAATCTCTCCTCACTTGCGTGGGCGTCTTTAATGCCGATTTCAGCGGTTTAGGACCAGGAGGTACTGGACAAGGAACCGCGGCCGGAGCAGTTTGTGTAGTGTCTCTGGTTTGCTGGGTCATTTGGGTGTTCATTGTGATGTTGGATCCGAAGTGAGAGATTTCAGTGATGTTTGATGTGGATGAGAAGAAGTCGTGGCCGGATTGCTGGCGTTTGGCTCGACGGGACTTTCGATGGTTCTTGGAGAAGTTGGGGACGGAAGCGGTGCGTTTGAAACTCTGGAATAGTTTTAGAAATTTTGTTTGAGTTCCGAAGAGAACTGTACACTATCCCGAAAAAATACACTTCAAAACCCCTACCTGATCCACATCTCCCTTATCCATTGCATTCTTCAAATAAGACTTCTCCCACTGTCTCAATGCCGACGAATCCACTCGGTAAACCGCCGAGAACGATCTTTTGAAGTTTTGCCCATTCGACGACAGCAATTCAGATCCATCTCCATTCTCAACCAATTCTATTGATACTAGCTGAGATGTACTTTTGCTGGTTGAGATGCTCGTTACACAACATCCCATGATTGAGCAGAAACCGAGGAGTAGCGTTCCGAGAAGATGACAATAGAATGCCCAACCCAGGATTTGTTCATACGTCTCGTTTTCATCTTCTTCTTTAATGACTTTATTGTCCTGGGTGTTACCCCAGAAGTAGAATATTGCGTTGCCAAGGATTGAGAGAAGAGCTAAAAAGGTACTTGAAGAAATACAGTAACTCTTTGAAAGACTCACTTGCAATAGTGATAACCACTGTGCAGGCACAGATAAAAGTTCGATGGCAAAATGCACAAACACCCATAAGTACTGCACATCCGGCGAAAAGTACACCGACTCCAACTCCGACAAGTGCAGCAATTTTCCAACCTGAAAATTTAAATTTGCCAAGATAAAAAAAAGAGCAACAATGCATGTCATAATTTGCTTCATTTTTAGAGGTTTTGAGTCAGTAATTTTATATGTATTTGGAATTTTCTTGGGACTAAAACGTAGATGTACACTTTGAGATCAATTATCTCGGTTCTGTCAAAGGATATCAAAAAATGTTCAGCGATTAAGTTGTTTATCATATCATCACCAATATTTCATCACTTGACAGATTTTCGATATTTTTCACAGGACCCGAGATAAATTAGCTCAAAATTGGCAGGGTTCGGGAGAGTATCTTCTAATACAGGTTTGAAAATAGGGGTAATTCAAGAAGCAGACAATGTCCATACTGTCCGAATTTGTTGAGATTTTGAGACATTATTTTTTTTGTTCAGAATTTTTATGGGACTTAATGATTTGTAAATTTTCTTTTCAGTAAAGTTAAAGCCGGGAGATGTTTTCTAACTAACAAGGGAAGTAGTTTTAGAAAGGGGTTGAGAATTTTCTCATTTTTTGACAGCGGTTAGTTTACGTCCTTGTAAACCTCCTGTCAAAATCTGTATATGCACTTTTCCAAAAATGCTGAAAATTTTAGTCTCAAAGTTTCCAAATTCTTAACCATTGCAAGCCCCTCTTTCCTCTGTGATATCGCCTCCTGGCAACCTATCGTGAACACCGTTCACATAAACCCCCGCACACTCTCTAGTTTTCAGCGGTGAGGTGGCCGAGTGGTAGTGGCGAGGGTTTGTAAGCTGAAGGTCTCGAGTTCGATTCCATCTTTTTGAAATTGTTTTTTGCTTTTTTTATAGAATTCATAGGAACCTATCTCGGGCTCCAAATAAGTTCTTGGCACGATTTTTCGAGTTTTTGTCGATTCTTAAACTTTGAAAAGCAGGAATCACCAATATTTTTCAAAGTGTTTTTTTGCGAAATTTTCAAAGTTTTTGACTTAACTCCATGCGAAATTTTTGATGAATTTTTCGTTTGAAATTTCTCAACTTTTTTATAGAATGTTTTTTTTTGTCAGTTCTAATTCGTTTCTCATGATTATACCGCCCTTTTTGATCCAGAACAATGCAAAATCACTCACAGTTCACTGTCAACTTTTGATGTAGGACCATTGCAATCACTGTTTTTCGACATATTTTGATTCGAGAAAGAGCAAGAAAAGCATGAGAAACGAATTAAAACTCACAAAAAAACATTCTGTAAAAAAGTTGAGGAATTTCAAACAAAAAAATTTCATCAAAAATTTCGTATGGAGTTGACCATCAAAAACTTTGAAAATTTCTGAAAAAACACTTTGAAAAATATTGGTGATTCCTGCTTTTCAAAGTTTAAGAATCGACAAAAACTCGAAAAATCGTGCCAAGAACTTATTTGGAGCCAGATAGGTTCTTATGAATTCTATAAAAAAAGCAAAAAACAATTTCAAAACGATGGAATCGAACTCGAGACCTTCAGCTTACAAACCCTCGCCACTACCACTCGGCCACCTCACAACTGAAAACTAGAGAGTGCGCGGGGGTTTATGTGAACGGTGTTTACGAGAGGTTGCCAGGAGGCGATATCACAGAGGAAAGAGGGGCTTGCAATGGTTAAGAATTTGGAAACTTTGAGACTAAAATTTTCAGCATTTGTGGAAAAAGTGCATATACAGATTTTGACAGGAGGTTTACAAAGGCGTAAACTAACCGCTTTCAAAAAATGAACAAATTCTCAACCCCTTTCTAAAACGACTTCCCTTGTAAGTTAACTTTCTAACTTCTAACTTTTCTAACTTTTTAAGTAAGCAATGTTTTTTCAACTTTTGAAGTTCATGAAAGTTTGAAAATAGAATTTTTTTTTGAAAACTCAAATTAAAACCTCCCGGTGCAAACTAAAGCTTTTTGAATCTATTCATGATTTACCTTTTTATAGCCCGGTTCAATGACTACAATAAGCTCATTAGTCCAACTTATAATTTTCGATATAATACAGTTTCAAATTGTAAGACCCTTCTTGAAATCGAAAATTTCTCAAGTTAAATTCCGATGTGTTGCGAATTTCAAACTCCATTTCTCATACTATAAACTACTCCAAAATCTTGCAATTGGAGTCAAGAATCTTACCCAAAAACAAGTGTTGATATGCGTCATTCTGTATGCGATTCTCGTCATGATTATGATCGTAGAGATCCTCTTGGTCGATGTAGTAGTCAAACTTGTAGACACATTGAAGTTGAGGTAGGAAGAATGCGGCGAATGGAGATCCCTGCATGTCACGTCTGGAAAAAATTGGGAAGTTGAGGTTGGTGTTTGGGATTCTTGGGAGGCGCAGCCGGTACATATGTCGTTTGAAAATAGGTCGATCGGAGTTCAAACCCTAGGGAAGCTCGAAGTATTCTTAAGCTCACGTCGTTTTTCCAGTCATCTTCTTTTTCAAGGATAACACTCACCTATAAAGAGTTTCATAGTACTCCCTGGACCGTCCATAATCAAACGAGTAGTCTCTTTTACAGTCCAACCAGAGTCCATGATGATGTTCGGTCCGCCCATTCTCCAGATTCACTTGTTGCCATGACGGTGAGATCAAGCCGAGGAGGCATAGAAGAAATGCGATAAGTGATAGTGTGAAGTGAATTGCCAACGCTGTCTTTCGACTACATTTTGTCGATGATGGCGGCGCCGCATCGATCATCCCATTGGCTCTGGAAAATTGTTATCATCATTACGGAAAGAATAAAATGTGGGATTGTACTCAAAGAAAGACGCAGTATTGAAACAGTAATTTTGTAAATAAGCATGACTATGCAATCCGCCGAGCCATTGAAACAAATGGGAATATATGAGAAAGTAACATTATGGAAACAGAAAATTTTCGGAAGATTTGGAAAACTTCGATACTGTCATCAGAGATGAGCGGAATACGAATTTCAAAAATCCGGAAGAAGGAATAAGGAAGAAATGGAAAAAAATCCGGAAGAAGGAATAAGGAATTCCGCTCATCTCTGACTGTCATTAAAAACAAGTGAAGTCCAAAAATCAATAACGGAAGTCATGAAACAGTAAAAAAAAAGACGAAATTTATAGTAGCTATACAAAAATAGTCTGTTTACGTAGAAAAAACACGTTTCCCATGAAGAGAAAAGAGAGAGAGAAAGAGAGAGAGAGAGAGAGAGAGAGAGAGAGAGAGAGGGGGCTATGAGGAACGTAGGTTATTGTTATGAAGTGGAAATTTAGGGGTGTCGTTTGAAATGAAGGTGGGACATTAATAGTTTAAGCAGCAGAAATTTGAAAAATGACTTTAATTTTAATCTCGAAATCGTGATTTTTTGAAAGACCTGATTTATTATATGAAAAGTCTAGAATTGCGAAAAATTGTAAAAAATATAAAAACATGTGAAAATTATAGGATGAATAAATTGTTTTAAGTATTATTTTGAACCACATAATAGAACAAAGTTTCTGGAAGTGTAATCAACCATAACCAACTGGGACACGCTATGAATTTAGTAACAAATCCAAATTTCTGAATTTACCGAAAATAAAAAAACAGTAAAATTGCTTTAAAATTTTGGGCAATAATGTTAAGAGGATTGACCAACTCAAATTTATAAATTCATCTAAATGTTCTGAAACAGTGAAAATTTCCATTAATTGCTTTTAGAGAAGCAAGTAAACGGCAGCTTTTAAAAAAATGGAATCATTTTTGGAACGTTCATTTTTTGAAATTCAATTTTTGAGACTTGTTGAAGACTATTCGTTTAAACCAATTTTCTCACAAAAACCAGACATCTTGAAACAGTTCACCTTGAGTTATTCAACAAAATGACTTCAACATCGATTACTAAAAGTTTGATGAGTCTATTAAAAATTTTGAAGATTCATTCTGGATTACAAATATCTAACAAAGTTTCTGGAAACCGTAAAAGAAGTTTTCAGAGTCAGAGATTTCATGTTCAAAGTGCGATCCCACTAAATTACAATTCTAAACTTCTGAATTTACATAAAACGCAAAACAGTGAAATTGCTTGAACATATAAAAAAGGTCTTTCAGCAACGAAACTTTGTAAAATCAAAGTTCATCGGAATTTTCTTGAACAGTGAACATTTCCATTAGAATCGCTATAAATATATAAAAAATATACAATTATGAAAAAATATACAATATGAAAGATAAGATTGATTAACTTCAAAGTTTTAAAACTTATCTGACAGTTCTGGAACAGTAAAACTTTTCATTAGAGATATTGGAAACCGGAGTAAATATAATGGTCAAGAAAACAAAGAGTTATTTTTGGAAATTTGGAAAACTAAACCTCATTATTGGGACTTACAAAATATGAATTAAATCTTATTGTTTCTACCTATTTTTCCCTAAAAATCTAGACATTATGAAACAGTTAACCTTGGGTTATTCAACAAAATGACTTCAAAAGAGATCCTAAACGGGTCTACCAGTAGCAGTTCAAAAATGAAATGGTGTGTATGTATATGTACATGGTGACTATTTCCAAAGCGAAAAGGAGACCATGGGTGAACGTTTTCAGGGTCATTCAATTGAATTCGGCTTTCCGAAGCCAACACATACACAACAGACAGAAGACACCTAAAAGAGGGGGGCAGCGAAAGTCGGCCATTTGCATAGAAGAGAGTGGGAGACGCAGAGAAAGTTCGAAATGGACAATAACGGTCTGTCTCCGTGAATTTCGGTCGAAATCCACTTGACGTGGCAGAAGAAGAGAAGTTTTGTTGGACTCTTATTTATGGGAAATTAATGGATGAAAGGAGAGAGAGAGAGAGAGGGGGACTATGAGGAACATGTAGGTTAGTGTTATGAAGTGGAAAGGTTACATAGCCTGTCAAATGAGAGTGAGAAAGTTTGCAAATATCTTCGATGAACCCAGCAGCTAAACATTTGAAAGATGGAAAATAATGAGCCACTGAAACCGTAATTTTTTGGTTCCGAAGTGAAGTTGGTAACAGAGAACTCCCTAAATTTGACCCAATGTATCTCGGTTCCTATGAGAGATATCAAAAAGTGGTCAACTAATAAAACATCTGTCTCTTTAGTGTAATATTTTATCAATTAGCCACTTTTTGATATATTTTACAGAATTTGAAACAAGGCTGGTGGGCCTCCGACAAAGCTTAACTTATGTATCTTACTGTTCGCCGCTTTGCGACTCAGTCTATTTCTAAATACCACGTCAAAGTATATTCAATTTTTGAGCTTTTCAAAGTGTTCGGACAAAGTGACAAACCAAGAATTATAGAGACGCAACTTCATTTATTCATTATAAGAATGATTGTGTTACAATAGTCAGGTTTACGAAATTTGTTCGTATGACTAAATCTAGAAAAAAACTTGAACTCGATAAAAAGAACTTGAATCGGCAAAACTTTTTTTCTATTTTCATATTTTTCCCAAAGTGCGCTAACAATGGACAATTCAATTTTCAGAGTCTGCGTTGTCTGTTCATAGTCTGTGTTTGACACCAATTTTTTAAATTTAGAGCTTTGGATTTTTGAAGTTTGAATCCACATCATTTGATCTCATCACCAGTTCTAGAAAACTTGTGATTATGAGGAGAACCTGAATCAGTTAAAAAATTTTTCACGGTCTCATGATTTTTATGTTTTTCAATTAACTAGTATTACTCATTCGTAAGTGTCGGATTACATTTTTTTAGCTACTATCGACACCGATTTCTAAAGTTTGAGCTTCAATTTTTTTAAATTTCGGTTTCCTTGATTTGGTAATCTTGAGCTTATTCTCTATATGTATTTTGGATCCAATAAACGTCAAAAATTCTTTAAAAAACAAGGCTTCAGCAAATTTTAATGTCGTAACAACTCTGATAGAGTCACCCCCCCCCCCCTCCCTTAGCTTTTGGGATCATACATATTTTCCATACATGTGGATGGCCGGGCCAGGCCGGCCCGCTTGCCTCAAAAGTTTCGGCTCGGCTCGGCCCGGCCCGCTGGCCGGCCCGGCCATCTTTTCCACAAGTATGATATTTTCTGTGGTAAGGGGTTTTCGGTATTTCGCGGAAAATTCAAAACAACAAAATAACACAAAATTTGAAATAAGAGTCTTTCAGGAGAACTTGAATCAGTTAACAAATTTTTGCGATTTCATAATTTTTATATTTTTCAACTAACTAAACATTACTCATTCATAAATCGTTTACCACTACTGTTGATATTTTCAAACCAATTTTATAAAATTTTGAACTTTGAACCCTCCGTATCGTCAACTTTGAGCTCATATGTCTCATTTTCTGTGAAAGGTATCAAAAAGTGATAAACGGACAAAACGTTTTCTATAATATCACAAAAAATTTTTCCGTTGACATTCCGTTGATTTTTGATATCTTTCACAGGATTTTTTTGCTAAAAATTCAATTAAATTGACTTTGTCGGATGGTTGTATGCATTTGGATTAATATTTGTGCCATTATAAATATTTTGGCACATTCGAAAAATAAAATTTTCGAAAAGTTGTCCTAGGCAGGCCGAGCGGGCCTGGTCGGGCCGGGCCGAAACTTTTGAGGCAAGCGGGCCGGCCCGGACCGGCCATCCACATCTATGGTTTTCATACTTTTATATTTGTTGAGAACTTGGTTTAAAAAATTAATGGGAATAATATTTTGACAAATCATAATATGCAAAATCATTGTGCAATTGAAAAATTCAAAAAACTGTGATTTTTATATAGAAAACTTGAAATCGTAAAAAAGAATTTTTTTATGTTTCCATACTTTTGTACTTTTTGGGATATTATAGAGAAATTTGATCGGACGTATACATAGAAATTCTGTAATTTATTTACTCCATGATATATCAACGAAGCATTTATTTTTGACTAGACAATTTTTTAAAAATGTTGGAACTTATTTTTCAAATTTTTTGACGATATTCTCAAAAATCGTATATCCTCGAACACTTTGCAAAAATGCCACTAATTTTGCAATTCAAAGTGTGTTTCATAGTTAAACTAAAAGCATATAAAATTGGGACCAATTAAATCATCTGTTCTATTCTATTCCGTTATGAACTATGAATCATTAGCCGTCACTAATACTTTCAAAAAGCAAAAGGAATGGGGAGGTAAACACTATGAATAGAATTGGAGGGGAAGATGAGTCATCGAAATTCGGAACAGGTAGGTCAACCGGACAAGAAGAAGAAGAACAGGAAGATTCCGGAGACAGGCAGATTTGTTATGTAATTTCAAATCGCGCCTATCCTCCTCATTCTCTCTTTATGTTCAAAACTGATGGTTATCTAGAGGAATAGGCGGAAAAGATAGGAGTGGGGCGATAATTACTGGATGATCATAGGGGGATGGGGAAAAAGGATTAGTATTATTTTCAACAAAATGGGTGGCAATTATTTGTACTTTTATAACTACGAGTAGCCGTTAAACTATTGTACGGTTAGACAAATCGCATACTTTCAAGGGTGAGAGACATAAACATGCCTAAAAAGTGATAAAATGGCTTCGAAGGAATCGAACTTGTGGCCTAAATCCTGAAGGTTTTGCGCCGCTACCGGCTGAGCTACGCTGTCGCAAGAACCGTATGTTTATATGAGATGTATAGTGTAGAATTTGCATTAGTGAACATTTTTAAAGAGTTCTCATGTTAGGTTCCTGAAACTGACAAGACTTTTTGAAAAATTCAGAATTCTGGT